TATGACTGAAGCAAATATTTTAAGTACCTTATCTTCAACTACTAAGCCATAAGTAGTGCACTTTGTATTTTAGCTTCAGTTACGGAACAGTCCATATATTTCATGTGTAGGAGATTCTTTGATTAAGAGGTCCCTCCCCCCTACTAATACTTTGATGTTGTTAATTATTCATCATTAAGAATTTTAATTTTCTGTGGGAAATAATAAAATGGACCCATTATTTTCACAGCCAAACCTGTTCTTTGGTGATGGAAGTGAAGGGGTTAAGCACTATGAAAATAAATCATTATTAGTTAAATGAGTCATATTAAAATGTATACATAGCCAAAATGTTGGAGGGAAAAAAAAGATAACCTTTTATTTCACAAAACCATTTCTACAAAGAACGAGCTTTGAATTTATTAGAATATGTTCGTTTTTATTTGGAGGCAGTCATAAAATACACTTATCTTGGAAACCCAGCGAGGCATCAGAACAGGAGTAGAGGTGGAGATAATTCACGGGTAATATGAGGTCTTATTTCTCACTTCTTGGCCCTGCTGCATCCATAAAGAGCTGCCCTTTATGCTAATGTCTGGCCGATCCACTGTTGAAGAGCAGACTCGCCTCTCCCTCTGCTGGTTTCGTCCTTCAGGACCAAGTCTTATTTTTGTGGACCTGAGTTTTGGGGTCATAGGGTGTTGTGACCATTGCTTTGCTCAACTTTATTGAGGTATAATCGACCAATAAAATGGTGTGATGTTTAAAGTTTACATTGTAATGATCTGACATACATATGTATTGTGAAAGGATTTCTCCCCATTGAACTAACACATCCATCACCTCATATATTTACGTTTTCTTTCTTTTCTTTTTTCTTTTTTTGGTAAGAACATTTAACTTCTACTCTCTAAGCAAATTTCAATTAAATAATACAGCACTATCAACTATAGTCACCACATTATGCATTAGATCCTCAGACCTTACTCATCTTGTAACTGAAAGTTTGTGCCCTTTTACAAGCTTCTCCCCATTTTCCTCACCCCCAGCCCCTGACAATCACTTTTCTATTTTGTTTCTATGAGTTTGACTTTTTTTTTCCCAGATTCCATATATAAGTGATGTCATGCAGTATTTATCTTTCTCTGTCTGGCTTATTTCACTTAACGTAATGCCTTCCAGGCTCATCCACGTTGTCAGAAATGACAAGATTTCTTTTTTAAGGGTGAACAATATCCCATTTTAATATATATATATATATATATATATATATATATATATATAAATATATATAGATACATAAAAATATATGTATCTCTCTCTATATATAGATATACACACACATACACATTCCACATTTTCTTTACCCATTCATGTGTCAACACACACTTAGGTTGTATCATACCTTGGCTGTTGTGAACAACGATGCTGTGAACCTGTGAGTACAGATATCTCTTTGAGATAGTGATTTCATTTCCTTTGCATATATACGCAGAAGTGGCATTGCTGGATCATATGGTAGTTCTATTTTTAATTTCTTCAGGAACTTCCATACTGTTTTCCATAGTGGCTGCATCAGTTTTCATTCCCACCAACAGAGCACAAGGGCTCCCTTTTTCTCGCATCCTCACCTGCTTGTTTTCATTTGGTTTGTTTTTGTATTTCTTTTGAATCTCTGAATATGGGTCATTGCTAATTTTTGTAACTAACAAATATAGACTTTCTGTGTGATGATAATAATGCAGAAACAGCTGAAAGAGGGAAAAGAAGAAGAAAAGGGAAAACAAAAAATCAAGGGAAAGAATCCCAGAGAGGCTTGGGGAAAAGCTCTGTGTCTCCTGTTGCCCCAGGAGCCATGGGTGAGCCTGGTAATTCCTGCTCACAGATTCCTCTCCCCACTCTTCCTGTCTCCTGCCTGTGTTTCACTCCCCTTCTCTCTTCCCCACTTCCTGTTATTCAAATCCTAAATTAGCTCAAAGGCTTTCTTTTTTGGTGGGCAAGAAAATCATGATTATTTCTCCAAACCTCCACCTGCAGCTCACACCTCGGATCTGGCCTCTTGTACCTCCTGCTGTGCAAGAGGAACTTAGGGGCTGGTCAGGTCGCAGGTATACAGAGTTCTTCAGTGTATTCAGTAAAAACACTGTACGTTTCATTAATACAGCTGGTGTGAGTTTTTTTTTTTCAGTAAGATTTTTCTCTTGCCTTATTTTCACAAGACCAAGTAATAAAATTTGAAAAGAAGTTTCTTCTTAAAGAAACTTAAGAAACCAGTTGCTTTAAGAACACACCTTTATCAAATTATTTTCCTTAGCGAACAAAAAAACTACCTTGTTTTTTTTCTCTCTTTTGATGTAAGTCGAAGACTTACAGATAGTTGTTAATGGTGTTTGGTTAAGAAGAATTTGTTTAATTGTATATATCAAACATATACTTACTGATTTTTTCTGGCTATCCGTTTGTCAGTTCTAAGTTTTTTAAGTCGTTTGGGCAAGAGAAAACCCAGTTTTGTCATAAAAGGTTTGCATTACGAACATGATTCTGTTGTGTCTCTATTTTCATTCTTGCTGAGGGATGAATTCTATTGTACAGATCTAGCATATTATGGGTTTAACATGTTCATTCAAGAATTTCACTTGGTTTTATAGAGATGCACATCTACAATGGCTGGCCAATCCAAACATAAGATTTTACCAGTTGACTCCTGACCCAATTCAGTTCTCCCATCTTCTGGCTTGCAAAACATCTGGCTTTGGGGAGAGAAAGTGAATCCAATTCATTTTTGATTCAAATGATTATTGACTGTTTTGTTCTGAGACTTAATATAAACTCATTTTTTAAGAGTTAAAACAAGTCAGCATGTACTGCATAAACACCATAGGAGACCAAACACTAAGAGTTTCTTTGAGGTGTCAGAAGAATATACTTTTTGCTTAGAGTTTACATCTGCCCAGGTAAATTTTATTTCTCGTTCTATTATTTCCTCAATTTGTCCCTGTTAATAGGGAAAATTCTAAAAATAATAAGTGTGTCTAGATATGTGAGGCAGTGTGTGGTCTCTTCCTGAAGTTACAGGGTTAGAACTCTGCTAACTAGTTGGGTCCTATTATGCAACAGAATGCAGGTGTTAATTTAATCAGAGGACTGTTTATACAGGGACTTTTGTAATGTATTAGCTAAAGATGGAGAATCGAGCTTTATGAGACTAACGTTTCTTGTTAAGTCCCCACTCCACCTTCTCCTATCTGGACTGACCCTTAAGTTGAAAAAAGAACAAAGAAGTCTATAGTTAAAACATTCCACTACATGTTGCATCTTGTCCTTGGTAAATGAGAAAATAGGGACTCAAAGAGAGAATCTGAATAAAGGTAGCATATATACCCACTTTTTTTGTGTGAATGGAAAACATGTTGTAAAATAGTATATATCATCTTCTCAGTGTAAATTCAGGGCATTTTCCCAAGAGGTAAAAGAATTTAGACTTATATAAATGGACTTTATAAAAACATGCCAATACTTTTAAATCTGTTTAATAGTCTGTATGCTATCAACCAGACTTCTTTTGATGGACGAAGAAGTGGAGGTGACTTCTAAATCTTAGAGCAGAAACTTCATGTGGGCCGTTGGATATTTGTCTCTAGAGTTCAGAGAGGAGGGTGGAGCTGGGAGTCTAAGTCTGTGAGTCATCTGCGTTTAGTGCCGATGTAAGCCATAGGTGTGGAATGGATTTTCTGGTGGGAGAATTCACAGGCACAAGAAAAGAAGAGGGCCTGACACTGAGCCCTGTGCAGCTCTGGCTTATTGCTGGGTCGACGGAGGTGAACCTGCAAATTCTGGGAAGCCGCAGCCTGAGAGGTAGAAGGAATGCTGGGGGTGTTCTGTGTTCTAGAAGTCGAGGAAAACACGTTTCAGGAGGACGGGAGGAATTGTCAGATGCTTCTGATTAGGCAGGTATTATGTGGGCTGAAAGTATCTGTTGAATTCAGCCACAAAAGTCATTGGTGGTTTCAGGGAAGCTGCTTTGGTGGAGCAATAAAGATGGAAACCAGATTGACGCAGGTTGAGCCACGCAGGAGAAAAAGGAGGATAAATGAGGCCTCACGCGTGGCCATCTGTGAGGAGGTGAGCTGAGAAGGAGGGATAGGATGTCAGACTGATGTTCAAGAGTGAAGTGAGGTCAAGGGAGACCTTTTTGTGTGGGACAGGCTTGCATGATGTGATAAAAGCCAATGAGAAAGAAGCATTTGAGTGAGAGAGATTCAATAGACAGGAGAGAAAAGAAAGAGGATTTAGAATAAAACAACAGCCACAACTAATAGATATTCCGTGTTTGCCGCGCCCAGGGCACTGTGGTATGCCCTTGACATGCATCTCACATTTAATTCTGAGAATAATGTTGTGCAGCTAACGGTTAGGGCGCAAGTGAGACCCGGGGATGTTAACTGACTTGCTCAGGGTCCTCCAGCCACAAGGTCATGGACTAACTTACTAACTTCAGGACTGAACTTGGCCTGCTGCCCCAACCCCCCACCCCCGACTTGAATTTAGGTGTTCTGGGCTGCATTCGAAGACGTACTTAAGGATTCTTTAAATTGTATTTAAAGAAAGGCCACGTTGAAACTCTGTGAAAATTCTCACAGCTCTATCGGGACAACAGTTTTGATGAGTGGCCTTGGTCCCCCCAAAAAAGCTTTATCTGCTGAGAAAGCTTAACCTCTATCTATCTATCTATAAAATCAGTGTGCCCCTAGTCTAGGCTGTGTGGACTGAAGGGGATTTGCCCAAAGAACTCCCAAAACAATTGGAGGAGGCAGAAATTAAGTCTAGGAGAGTTTTGTTTTTGTTCTCATTTTTTTTTTTTTAACACTTCAAGTAGAACAGAGAAAGGACAGCAGGCGGAGGTAGTAACACAGTGAGGCCAAGTGAGTGATACGGAAGCCTCCTCCAGACAGCTTCCCTGTCAATTCCGACTGGTGAAATGTCCTGAAATAATACTAATTCTGTCCTCTTGCTTTTGATAGGACATAATGACTACATGTGTCCGGCTACCAACCAGTGCACGATTGATAAAAACAGGAGGAAGAGCTGCCAGGCCTGCCGGCTCCGCAAGTGCTATGAAGTGGGGATGATGAAAGGGGGTAGGTATCCCGGAACCAGGGCGCCCGCCCGCTGCCCAGCCGTGGCGACTTCTGTTCCAGTGACCGTGGGAGTGTGGTGTTTTCTATTCTAATTAATTTCTTTCCCCACTCTTATTTTTATTCACGACAAAAATATTTTTAGAATCCATGCTATTAAAAAAATGAGAAATTTGAGCACACTCTTTTGTGTTTTATATTTTCAATGTAAATAGTTATATTTAAAATCAAAGGTTTGTGGGAGGTGGGGGAGGAAGGGAACGAGTTCTGCTCAGCCAATTACTCTAGAAATATTTCTTAGTTACCGTTTATATTACTGATACTAGAAGATGGAGCAGCCTGATTGATTTCCTTGTATTCTTGGGAATCTAGTCTTAAGAACATGTCTAGTCTTGGATAGCCTACAAAATACGGGAGAGAACAAATAGGAAATATGTAATGGAAATAAAGTAATGGGTGCATCCAGTGTTTTAAGATGTTACCGAGGAGAGGGACAGACTGATGATGACGGTGCTGCCTGCCGATCACACTGGGGGAAAGCTTTCTGGAGACGAGGCTCGAAGTTAGTTAAGGAGAACAAAGTTGCCATGAAAAGAAGAGCAATTGTGCAAACAGAGGACAGCTAACCTTTAACACATTAATACTTGGACGAAGAGGGAGGCAGAGGAAAAACCAACAATCGTGCCTGATTGTTGCAAAGCTTACAAAGATTCCTTAGTTAAGGGTCCTGAATAAGCCTACCAGGTTGAGATTTTGAATATAGCATTTAGAATAAATTCTCTTGATGAACAGATGAAATGTTGAATTTACTCCTTGTATGAGCTGTGACTATATGTCTTGAGCATCTGAAAAAGCAGCTTTAATTCAAAGGGTAATTAATTCCAAGAATTTAACAGCCACATTCAGAAAATGACACTTTGAGTCATAAATGGATTAAATATTTAAGGAATTCTTCTTCCTTTGTACTGTTGGAGAATTAGTCAGGCTTAATTAAACTTACGAAAAGCTTCTTAAGATAACTTGATAAGTGACAGGAATATAACAGCTACATGTAAAAAGTTTAATTTGAAACAGTGAAGTCCGAGTTTAATATTCTTTGGCAGCTGTAGGTAGATGAAGCCCAGCCTCTTGGATTCTCTCTACGAACTGAAGTCATCATCTTGTAAATACGTCCAAAACTCTTTTTTTCTTCGAGGGTACCCATACATTGACCCCACTTCATAAAAACCATTCTGTTTCTCCTAATTAATATCCAGATGCTGTCTGGCTGCATGACTATGAATTATGCATACTCATTTTTAATCTAACAACAATTTTAACATGCATAGACATAATAAAAATCTCCCCAGTGTTTTCACATACGACTTTAGATAACTTTACTGTACATAGCCAGTCTGTGTGTGCTTGCATGTGCTTGTATATGCATACCTACAACTGTAAAACATGTATCTGTGTAGTCTGCTGCTGTATTCGTCTGCTCAGTGTGTTATAACGTCTGCAGACCGGGGAGGGGCTTAAACAGCAGAGGCTTATGTCTCACAGCGGTTCTGGTGGCTGGAAGTCCAAGATCAGGGTGTCAGCAGGTTTGGTTCACCCTAGACCTTTCTCCTTGGCTTGAAGATGGCCACCTTCTCACTGTGTCCTCACGTGGCCTTGTCTCTGTGCACGTGTCCCTGCTGCACGTCTTTTTTTTTTCTCCCTCATCTTGAAAGAGACTGGTCATATTGGTTTAAGATCCCATGTTTAGGACCTCATTTAATCTTTATTACATCTTTAATGTAGTCCCATTTCTAAGGTCCTGAAGCTAGAGCGTCCACACGATTTTGAGGGGAGACGCAATTCGGTCCGTAACAGTCTCCCATAAAGATTCCATGGTGATTGTTAGCATCCGTCTACATAAAGTGAAAACATGTGTCTCTCTGGCAGTTCATGTATGTGTGTAAGTTTTACGACAAGCTTTAAAACTGCAAAACTATATGGACTGTGAGAACATCTCGTTTTAATTACACATACAGAGTCTGCCATAAAGCAATATAATTTATCTATTTTTCTCC